AGCAAAAGGAGTGGAAAGAGGGTACTTCAAAGCGGCAGCGCTGCACAGCTGATCCCCGGCAAAGCCTGGGGATCCCAGGCTCCGCATGGCATTGTGGCTGGGTTCTGGGGAAATGCTGTGGGGAACCTGCAGTCAGCTGGGGAGTCCCCAGAGGATCCCGGGTTCCACTGAAATACTACACAGAGCCCAGGATCAGCTGGGGAGCTCCCAGTTGACCCTAGGCTCCACGTGGCATTTCAAAGTACCGCACTTAAAATCCCCCAATGACCCCAGGCTCCACAAGGGCGCTTCCACTTTGAAATGCACAGGAACCTCCTCTGGGGACTCTTGTACATTTCAAAGCTGGCACCCATGTGCAGCCTGGAACCAGCAGACTTCCTGCTAGCCCTGGGCTGCACGCGGCGTTCCGCATTCCTCCTTTGAAATGTACAAAAGGCCCAGCATTCAAAGGAGGAATGCAGAAGTGCCTATCGACTAGTCGAGTAGTCAATGGAAATTCCATCGACTCCTCGACTAGTAAATTAACCGTTAGTTAACATCCTTAGCACAGATGTAGGACCTAAAGGTGTTTTGGAGGGGAGGCCTTGTGCTATATCAGGGATAGGAGCAGTCTCATTGTTAAGTCTGTGTCCTGGGCGTATGGAGACTACAGGGCGATATCTCACCATGCAGCCGGTAGCCTGTACTCCCCACTGTCATGTTGGAGTTTTTGCATTTATTTATTGACAACATTTTCAGAATTTTGCAATATTGTGTACAGAATTTTTAATTTATTGGCACAGAATGCCCTCAGTGCCAGAGCACCCATATGCACGGCATGTGGACGCACCTTGTAGTCTCCAATATGATGCCTGAACTCTCTGTGTTGATGGGCCTGTTCCTGACAACTGATATGAATATGAACCACTACAGCACGTTTTATGTTAAAGGCCCAAATTTTCCATTGTTATAACAGAGTCAGTGGTAGTTACTCACCATGGGAACTACTGGATGCTCAGCCCTTTTAAAAATTAGTCTGGTTATTTAGATACCTAAATGTGGAAATAGGAACCTAACTTGTGGTATGCAGTTTTGAACATTTTGGCCTCAGCTCTTTAAGTAAGAATGCCCCCAATTATAGTGGATTTTAATGGCCACAATTAGCACCCAACATGGAAAATGTAGTAAAATTTATTGTTTCTTGTGTGCTGGTGACTGGTAACTAAAGTGAATTCTGGATCTTTGTTTGAGCTTTATTAAAAGACTTACATTTGGTGGAGAAAAATCCTCACTGGAACATAATACATTGTACTCTGCGATGAATTCTCCAGCAATGCAAATGCTTTAAAACAAAACAAAACAAAAAAGACTTTCTAATAGTTCACAAGCAATATGTGCATGAATAACTGTGGGCAGGACTAGGGTCTTGCATGATAAATCAGGCCTCAGAAAATGATTTTAACATAACTCCCTCTTGGACTGCAATAACAATGATTTTAAAAAGTGTTTATGGAGTTAAATCACCCAATATTATTGATATTATAGATGGGCTGTGTATATAAATGATTTAATAATAAGATACTAATATCTAAGTTTAATATTCTTATGAGCTGCAATACTAAAGATTGATTTCCTTATTGCATGGATATATATCATTCAGTTATGCTAGCCCTGCAATAAAGTAACTGATTAACTATATCACTGACCTCTCAACAATCTCCTTCTACATTTTCAAGACTAAAATGTTTAACTTGAGGAATTTTCTATTTGTGCTTAAAATGTCACATAAAGCTAAAAGTAATATAAACAGGAAAAAAAACTCAAAGAATGTGACACTTAGGAATACCTAATAATTTAAAGGAAAACAATAAGGTATGGGTATGTAAAACTTTATGCAACCCACTTTATGCAACCCACCCACTTTATGCAATCCTCCATTGGTGTAAAGTCCCATAGGAACTGTACATTAGTGATGTAAGTTAGAGCAATCACTAGGCTATTCTAATGTTAGAGCTGGCTTACACTGACCTTGATAACCCCTTCCATTCACATTCCCCTGCACTCTTCAGAACTCAAATGCAGGAAAGAAACTAGCACCATCCATTTTAAAACTTAATGTCATATCTCTGGGACGTTATTTGGCTTTGGGAGCAGTAAAGCTCCATGGAAAGATATTAAAAGAAGATTTATGATTATTAAAAATGACCCATGTTCTCTTTGCTGTATGAAGCTGGAGCTGGTTCCTTGCTGCTGTTTTAAGCAATGCAAACTGAATAGTAAACAATAGCTAGGGCCTTAGTGCTCAGGCCTTGTAAACTAGCAGTTACAAGGTCAAACCTTCATCTTACTTGAAAATGCATCACCAGCATTCTTAGCTTTTAAATTGTCAGGGCACCTTTTATGAATGTTACTGCCTCTTTTTAAGGCCCAAGAATTAACAAATCGTGTGACTCTGGTTATGCCTATTCTCATATTAAGAGAGACATTAGAAAATGAGTTTTATGAGGCCGGGTCTCAATTGTTGATCAAGTTTTTAATTTGGTGAGGAAAAATACCATTGACCAAATTCATCCCAGGGCAGTTTGTCCATTGACCTCCCTGGAATTACCTTAGGGTGAATTTGGCTCTGGAAGGCCATTAGCTCACTATTGAAGAGATTTACAATTAAGAGAAGTATGATACAACAGTTTTAATAGAATCAAAATTCAAGTCCCTAATTAAAAACTCAAAGCAAACACTATGTTTGTAGAGGTGACGCAAGCTCCCTCTGAAAATAGATCTCTGGCTAGTTGAAACCCTGACATTATAGAAAAGTCTATGCAGTACACTGGTCATTTGGGGATGTGATTGCTTCTATGATAAACTTTTATGAAAAGGAGGAGCTGTATTCATGTATGCTCATTAGTGCATTATGATGATGATACACAGTTGTTTTATTATTTTAATTCCCTCTCTGGCAAACTATCTGAAAATATTTCTAAGGACAGCAGTTTTTATGCATAATACCATATACAGGAGCCCACATTAAAGAGAAGTAACTATTAAAAGTTTTGTGGGTTGCACCCACGAAAGCTCATGATACCATCTACGTGTTTTGTTAGTCTTTAAGATGCTACTAGTCTATTTGTTGTTTTTTAAATTTTTCCTGTTACAGACTAACTTGGCTATCCCTCTGAAGCTATTACAAGCAAAGCAGAGTTAGTACAGTCTAATGGCTCATTCTAGTGAAAACTGACACACTGCATTGCAGCATCTATGGTTGGATAGTTCCTAGCAAAGGTTGGGATATACTGGTAGTTATCCCTTGACATTATAAACAGAGGTTTGCAAACTTTTTAAAATCAAGTATATGTAATATAGCATATTCTTTCCTTTTCAGGCTAATGGAGCAGGAGTACATAGAACAGAATTTTGATCTTCCTTTGTGTTTTAGTGGCATATTAATGTTCCATCTTTGGTAGAAAACCAGGCATCTAAAAATTAAAGCTGAAATAATTACTCCCATTGTGTCAAAGAAACCCCTCCCAGAACCTGTTAATGAAAGGTTGCCTCAGAATAGCTTTATAAAAAGAACATCTATATCTCTATAAACTGCCACCGATGATTAAGCGTAAAACTAGCTCTGAAATATATGGCCAATTAAAATTATCATGGTCTGTGCAGAGAAAAGAAGTCCAGTGAACATTAGGCAAGAAACTTTGTTTTCTAGAAAAGTGGGAGAATGATTCTAAATGACTGGACACGGCTGCACAAATACTTATAGTATTTATAGTAAATGTGTTTTTCCTCTGGGCACTGCAGTGATTGTTCTTCTTGGAATTTTGTCTTTCCTCAAATGAAGTATTAAATGAAGAATGAAGAAACAAATGCCACCCGGGGGTGGACTGGCCCAGCGGGATACCGGGAATTTCCCAGTGGGCCGTCATCTGTTGGGCCGTTGTGTCCGCACACTGTTGGCCCTCACTCCGAGCCGCTCTGTGTCCGCACTGTATGCGGCACGCAGAGCCTGACTCGCTGCCTGCGCCACATGCTGGACATGATTCAGGGGGCGGGGCTTGAAGGCCACACAGAGGTGATGTCATGGGGAGGGCCATTCTCAACCCATTTCCCAGGCCTATTGTGATTGCCAGTATGCTCCTGATGCCACCAGAGTACTATTTAGCTTCAAGAAAACAAGCCGTTAACGAGCAAGCTGAAGATACCACTATGGAATGCTTTTGATAGTCAGATACCAAAGATACAAAGACTAAATTTACTCAAGTCCTGGTCTATACTACAAACCTGTGTTGATATATCTATGCCTCTAAGGGTGCAATGCAGTTATACCGACCCAACTCCCAGTGCAGACAGCACTACGTTGGCAGGAAGGCATTTCTCATCAATATAACTGCTATCTCTTGGGGTACGTCTACACTGTGGCGCTATTTTGGGATACTTCCAGTAACCCAAAATAGCTATTCCGCATCTTGGAAACAAGCCTGTTATTTCAAAATATAACGGGCTCACTATTCCAAGGTCCCTGGAAACCTCATTCCATGAGAAGTAAGGGACGTTTTGGAATAGTGGTTTATTTTGAAATTGGGCAATGTGTAAGGCAGCGCCAAATTAAACAAAATAAGCTATTTTGAAATTAATTCAAAATAAGCCACGCAATTTGCGTAGTTCAAATTGCATAGCTTATTTTGAGGTTCGGTTGCAGCGTAGACGCACCCTTGAAGAGCTGGACTAATACACTGACGGGAGAAGCTCTCCCATTAAAATAGATATCGTCTTCACAAAGCACTACAATAGCCCAGCTGCATTGGTGCAGCCCTGTACGTCTAGACAAGCCCTTAGCACATACTTTTAATCTCCAAATGTTTTTTTTCCCCCACAGATGTTTGAGTGTTATTCTGTAATGGCAACATTCAGTATCCAATTAGCCCTAGTCTATGCTACAAATTTATGTTAGTATAACTACATCACTCAGGTTTATGGAAAATCCATACACCAACCAATCTCTCAGTGCAGACTTCACTGCATTGATGGAAGAGCTTCTCCCACTGACATTACAATCTTGGGGAGATGAAGTATCTGCTCCAATGGGGGCTCTCCCACTGGCACAGGTAGCATCTTCACTAAGTCTTACAGTGATTATGTAAGGACTTCACTAAGCCCACAGTGGCACTGTAAGGACTTCATTAAGTCCTGCTGTGGCAAACCTTTACTCTTCATCTATTTAATGTGGATACACTTAGCTGTAATGTGGATACATATAGAACATGAAAGAAAAAAGCCTAATGACCCAAAAACCCATTATACAAATACATTTGCATTTAAATAATCAATTGGTGAGGTGGATCAGACTCTGTGAGCCCCTGCTAGTGGCTTCATATCACTGCCACATCCTGTCCCAGAAGAAGGAAGTGGAGAGGGTCCTCCAATCTGCCTAGAGTGACTGTGTGGGACTAGGCATGTAAGCGACTAATCGACTATCCGATAAGCAAAAGCTTATCAGACAGTCGACACACTAGTCAACTAGTTGCTTCCCCTCGACTTGTTGCCTCTATCAGAAAGAGGCAGGAAGGAGGAGGGGATGCTGGAGGGAGCCAGCTTAAAAGCCAGTTCCCCCTAGCTCCAGCTCTGTGGGACGGGGCAGGGGGGCATTTCCCTTTGAAATGTAGCAACAGCCCAGCAGACTCTGGCTACATTTCAAAGCGGAAGTGCCCTTATCACCTAATTGAATAGTCAATGTAAATTCCATTGACTATTCAATTGGCTAATTAATCTAATTTTAACATTCCACAGAGGAACACAGCAAATCAGAAAGCCACTACAAGGAACAGCCAATCAAGACCTAGCTGGCCTATAAGAAAAGGAGCTGAAGTGGCAGTGTAAAATCAGTTCTTTGCTAGAGCAGGAGGAGCGTGGATGGTGTAACTGGCTGTCTAACTGAGGGAGCCACAGGTCCTCAGAGCAGTGCTACTGATAGAAATTGGAGAGAGCAAGAAGCAATTCTGGACTGGTGGCTGGGACTTTCAACCAGCATTCCCAGTCAAAAAGGGACTTTTGCAACTCCAGTTGGCACTGATGACTGGGCCATTAAAAACCTGGTTGGTGGTGCAGCAGGGTTCAGGCAGCTCCTTAACTGGCTCCTGGAAGAAGCTGTCAGGTCCCTGCAGCCCCTGGGTGCAGGGAGGCTCTGTGCGCTGCCTCTGCCCCAAGTGCTGGCTCTGAAGCACCCATTGGCTAGGAACTGCAACTAATGGGAGCTGCAAGGGTGGTGTCTGCAGGTTCAAGGGCAGCACATGGAGCCTGTGTCTAGGGCCTGCAAGTAACTGATGGTTACTTTCTGGGACCCCC